AGGTCACTTTGCAATTTACGTACTTTTATTGTGTATGTAATGTTGATTATGGCAGTTTAACTGTAATTTATTAGACATTATAACAGTTTTTAGCAAACACGTGCAAAACTTTGCAGATAGTCGAAAGAAAAAAATATTAGATACTATTTATAATATTGTTATTTTGAACAGTGTACTCATATGAACTACTGTATAAAATATTGATTATCTTTAAGAATGACTATAAAAATGCACTTTTTATCAATTATCGGAGAAATTATGGCCTACGGCTATCTTTTCCGTATGGCCATAATATCCTAGTTTACCCTAAGTAAATAAAGTTACTGCAGCGAAAACAACAGAATTTGCCAGCGTGGCATTTATGTGGATATTTTTTTTCACGAATGTCTTTTTTTCTTCATTTTTGTGGGAAAAATTTTCCTTATACATCGCATCGATCGCTTAATAGTAGACTTCTTTAAGAAAAGTACTGCAAAATTAGAAGTGCAGTTTGAACGTTCTTTAACGTTTACTGTAAAAGTAACGTTAAGTTTAATAGTAAAATTTACGCTAAAAGAAGGAACATTCAATCAATCGATCGAAAAGAGGGGATGGACAGAATGTTCCCCACTTTTTCGCAGTCATATGTGTTACTACCCTCGAAGAGATGACTTACGCGAAGGATCGATACTTTAGTCTCAATCGAATTCTTATGCTCGCTACTGGTTTATGGCCTTATGAACAATCCAAACTCGTTCGACTACAATTGACTTTGCATTACGGAATTCTGGGAAGTTTTATTGTATTTCAGGTAAATGAATGCATAGTATTTAGAAGATTTTTTTATAAGAAACGTTCTTATTTATTAATAACAATAATTCATGAATAATTAATAAGTTGTCATATTGTTATTAATAGCGATCTGGCATATCTAAATTTATTTATACATTATAAAGTAATAAATTTTTGTTATATTATTATTATAACGTACGTATAGTTAGATTTGGTGCTTTATGTTCAATGTATAATATTGTTGTACGTAAAAAAAACAATTAATAATTACAATCTTTCTATTTACTGACAAAATAGTGTTACTTTTTTTATATAAATAATTCAACAAAATCATTTCCCGTAGTTTACAACATTTGCGACCTCAAAATATGATTTGCAATTAACCATTGAAATTTTATCTGTCACATTCTTCTTTAATCTCTTCTTGATACCATATCTCTCATTCAACTTTAACATGGATGTTGTAAGCGATAAGAAATATATTTTATTTAAATAAATGCATGTTGTGTGTACTCTCTAAATTTCTTGGAATAAAATCTCATACTCTAAAATAGTTAAAATATTACCACTATTGAGAAAGAATGATAAATTTGCACTCTTGAATAAGAGTGACTGATTTTCACTTTTTTTTGGAGTGAGATTCACTTTAAAAAAAAGGAGCAAGATTACTTTCCTTTAGAGTAAATTTTACTAAAAAAAATTGGAAAATCTCTGCCACTCTTATTCAAGAGTGCTGCAAATTTTTCACTGTTTTTATTTTAGTGGCAGTAATTTAACTCTTTTTGAGATTTTATTCCAAGATATTTAGAGAGTATATTACATTTGTCTATATCAACTTCCGCATAACAAGTAGCATAGAAAATCATTGACAGGTAAAACACTTATTAGAACTTCTCCAAAATACCTACGATGAGCTAAGAGACGAAAATGAAATTGCCATTATAGAAAAGTATTGGAACATCGCAAAACGTTACACTGAAATACTTACGCGTAAGACAATCTCTCAGTTTTCATTACACAAGAAATATGCAGGTTTCATTAAAAAATTCAAGTTACATTTTTATTGAATAATCTATTTGTGGTTGTACACAGTATTTCAAATTTCGTAATTATGAATGATAAGAGTTGATTCTTTTAAGAAATTAACTAATCGATTTTACGTGTGTATGGTGATATTACATTAAATTATATCACATGTACACATTGCTTTGTTACCATCTGAAATGTATGCAATATCTTCCAGTGTGTAACCATCCTTAAACTCATATAATGTCCGGCGAGACTTCTCCCTCCGTCCACAGAAAGGTAGATGGGATCGAAATAAATATAAAAATCCTTTACCGTTTAGCGATATTCGTAATAATAATCGAGATATTAATGTTTGCAATTGTATCAATGAGAGCGCACTGACAGTAACACGCTCCGGCCGCTCGTGGTCCAGTTTGTCAAACGATGGATGCGCCGGCAGTGCGTTGGAGAGGCAAGGGGGGAAGCTCGCCATTGCTTAGCGCCCGGCATCACACGTCTCACTAGAGCACTAGAGACGTAAGTATTCGCATCCACCATTTTTATTCCTTTTCTGTGACGGATTATGGTCATTACAAGTTATGATTTGTATTTGTTGTTTGAAATTTTGTAGCTGCTTTCATTCCTTCAAGGAATTTGCTTGTTTCCAACAGCTTAGAAGCTACAACCTATAACAACCGTAACAACGATAATCTTCTTAGCTCAGTGGGAACAGAGCAAGGATAGGGGAAAGGAGTAAAAATGGCGGATTTGCGAATACTCACGTTTATAGTACCTTAGTTCGCGGCTACGCACATTCGCGATTACATATGTATTAATAACACTCCAAAATTGGACAAATACAAACCATAAACTTCGATGAATAAAAATGTCGAAAGAGAGAAAGCGATGAAACCTATGGGAATCTACGGAAAATCTAATTAATTTCTATCGTAGTCGCTTCTCTAAATCGAAATAAAAAAAATTTAAGAAAAAGGTATCCGAAAGAAATAATATCATTCTCCACCATTCTCTATCGTTTCCTTATCGTTTCCTGTTGATTTTATAATAGATTATGATGAGCCGCCTACCATAATTAATTATACTTCGAGAGCACAATGTCATGTCAAATATCGTTGATACGGTTAACAACAAAGAGCTCTTTTGATAATTATGCGATAGTGAATTTAGAATTTCTACTACCGCAAATATACATTATTAACTATGGCAGATTTTCAGTGATTTTTTAATACATAGAAAGAGAGATTCCAACAAAACTTACAATGAAAAATGAAACATTATGTCTTTATTGATATTTTATCGTATTCCGATGAAATCATACTCTCCTAACAGGAAACGATAGAGAATGGTGGAGAATGATATTATTTCTTTCGGATATCTTTTTCTTAAAATTTTTTCCTTATATAGGTGTATCATTGCGCATATGATGTCACGTGTCATGACGTAACGATCGTAGTGAGCCAATAAGAAATGCCCAGAAGTGCAGAGCGAAGTGGCGCAAATGTACAGCAGAGGCTCTATTCCTGAACAAATATTGCATACGAAAATAGCAATTCTGTATACAATTGATCGATCACAATCGAGAAACTGTAATTTTCGTACGGGAAAATTAGTTATATGTGCTCAAGAATAGGGCCCCAGTGCAGTATATCACTTCGTAGCCATATTGAATTCTGACATCCTGGGCGATTTCTGATTGGCTCTTTACTTTAGACGATTGGGCATCCACGAAAATGATACACCTATATATTTACATCCTGCATCGAGCGGCCGCGCCGGCCAGAGCGTTTCTGTTGGCGCGCTCTCATTGGTACAATTACAAACATTAATATCTCGATTATTATTATGAATATCGCTAAACGGTAAAGGACTTTTATGTTTATTTAGATCCCATCTACCTTCCTGTGGGCAGTAGGAGAAGTCTCTCCGGATACCCCGTATAAAGAACGTAAATGAAAAATACTTTTATAGAAAATGTCATATCGATCAAATAATATTCTCAAAATCAAAATAACTTTCTCTTTATAATCTTTTATCTATATTTAGTATACTTTAACCTTTGTCTCTATAACCAAAAGTCTCTATAACCAATAAATTCAATAACCGGGGTACCCGGGCATCCACGCAGGAATTTTTCTGTGAATTTAGGAAAGGGTTGTTGTGACCTCCCCATTCTCTTGTGCGTAGAAACAAGTTTGAACGTGTATAGTTCAGTTTCAAAAGTACGAAGTGGGTACCCGGTTATAGAGACAACGATTA